TCCTTCGCAGAGACGTGTTCAATCCCCCTCCGGCCCAAGATCAGAATCGGGTTCCTTTCCAAGGCCCCCGGTAATGAGAGTAATAAAACAAAAAACCGAGTCTCAACTGATGTAGCAGCTCGTCACACCAGTGCAAAGCAAACGTTCACAACGAAAAAAGAAGGAGGCGAGAGGGAGAGGAAAAACAACGAGAGAGACGAGAGGGGACGTTTTGAGACGAAGGGCACCCAAAACAAAAGAAGACCACCCCCAACCACCCGGGCCGAGCCCACGACCAACGAAGGGGGAACACGGGATCAAAAACAGGAATTTCGAGGGAGAAGGCCCGAAAAAATGAGACAGCCCCGCCAAAGGAGTGACAAGGGGTCTGGATACCCCATCACACGACCAGCCCCATCCCGAATGAACGCAGACGACGCAGAGAAGGACCACCAAAAGAAAACCCAGCATCCATGCAAGTGTGCATCATCAACATCTCTCAGGGCCCATCGGCGGCCATGGTTTACACCACTCACTACAGTGGCCCATGGACGCCTCAGGTAACCCCGAGCTCGAGCAATGACAGCTTCAAACCTATATGCAATCGCTTTCGTTTGAAATTTACAGTAGGGGCTGGAAGCTGAAACAGAATTGGCGGCTCAAACCCTTGAGAGAGCTTGCTCACTGGGGATCCTAAGCCACACAGCCTGGCCACACGATATAGCGGTCGTTTAGGCCCCTAGATAAGGCTATTTCCTTTCGCGCTAGGGTTGCATTCGGAAATGCTGAGGGCCTACGCAGTGCATTGTCTTGTTGCGGTTGTCCCGATGTTCAGAGTTTCAGATCAGAGCTTAAGGTTTCGGTCCAGGGACACATAGGAGAATCTCATTTTGGTTGCTGTTTTGACGAGTTGTCTATGTTGCCTTCATCTTTTCATCATTGGAACATGTGGTTCGGCAGAGGCACCGGCATGCCTGTCCCTCTCATTTGTTGGTATACATTTTGTGGCATGGGGGTTTCCGAAAATTGGGAACGCTAACATAGCACCCTAAATAGTAGGATCTCCGTTACAAGGACCCCCAAAGGTATGTTTTAGAAGCTGCCTCCACCCTGTAATAGTGGTATAATGGGGATATAATGGGGCCCAAATATAATCCTATATAATCCTTATGGTCACTATTACAGGGTGGGGGCCCCTTCTAAGGTATGTTGCTTGTCTCGTCGATAAGGATGCAAAGCCCGTGCTCCGTTCGAGAACCGCTTGGAACCATGAGCCGCAAGGCCTAACATAGGGGCCTTCATAATTAGAAGGGTTTAGGGTTTAGGGTTTAGGGTTAGGGTGTTGGGGCGCAGTATACAAGAAGTATAAGTAGGAACCCCCAAAAGAGTATTGGTAATGGTTTAGTCCCTATGCTAACCCGGTTTGCGAAATGCTAGGGCAAAGGTTTGCTTCATGCAACAAAGTCATGTCACAGCATAACACCTACTGAACAACACATCCAAAACCCAGAACCCTAGACAGTTTACCCCCAAATCCTAGAACCAAAAACCACAACAACCCTGAACCCAAAACCCTAGCACCAAAAACCCGACACCCTAGACTCTAACACCGCATCCTATGCTTTGCAGAGCTCGGCTTAGCACTGCAGGATGCAGAGATTGACTTCTGAGCGCCAGCAGCAAATCTTTGAAGCGGTACTATACGGTTAATATAAGAGTGCCTTTGAAGGGCCATGGGCATTATACAGTCAGTATACAGGTCTCCTTACAAAGGGCGCCATACACTTATGATATGGATCCTTTGAAGGAGTGTTAGCTACGGGTATGCAAGCAGCGAAAGCTTGGAAGGGTAAGGTCTGGTGACGAGGTGTATACAATTAGTTCTCCGGGTACAGGGCTTTGGGATCGAGTCTAGCGTTTAGTGGTTCGGGCGGTTGGCATTCGTGGCTTTGTGATTTGGTTAAATACATGAGGGTTCAGTGTTTGCCGACATCTGCAACTTTCAGATTGAATTGACGGGCAAACAAACTGGCATCCATGCTTCCGACAGCTGCTAGGAAATACTGATTTCTTATGGCTCAATCGGTGCCGTCGAAGCACCGTACAGTACGACACTTGGGCATGCACCTGCCTACAGATCCTCCCCTTTGGCGGAGAGATGTATGCTTTCGTTTAAGGAGGCCTTCATTGCTTCCCGAACATGCTCGAGGAACTTTGAAAATTTGGAGTTGCGAAGGATGGAGTCACCCAGCGCACGCAACAAAGATGTCTCGAGCATACACCAGTGGCTACACGGAGGCCGGAAGATCTTTGGGTTTGAGATCCGAAGCTGCAGTGCGGCAATCCATACACCATACTTGACTTGCTGCAGTATAGAGGTATATAACAGATACCTGTATCTATATATATATATATATATATATATTCGCATATCCAGCCAGAGCATGGACACACGAGAGAGGCAAAAACGGAGCCGACCTCCGCGTCTAGCGGTCAGTTTTCACTGCAGCCAGCACACGCTGCCTCACAGCAAGAGCCCCGCGAGAAAGTTCGACCATGTGATTCCGAAGCGCAAATCTGCAAAGAACCCAACCCCAAACCCTGAACCCTATACCCTGAACCCTAAACTCTATAAACCTTAAGCCCTAATCCCCTAAAAAAGAATCATCCCTATAGACCCTAAACCCCTAAAGCCCCAAAATTCAACCCCAACTGCTCAGCTAGAAGTCCCCAACACTTGTGAGGCATTCTTCGTTCCGATCGAAGGTTGAATCCCTATCCGGGTTTAGACCAGCCTGACACACTCCTCTAGAGAACTCCGAAAGCGCAGTAGAAAACCTGCTGAAGCGCGACAAGCACAGACCAGCTTCATAATGTCATAGGCAGCTTCAGTGTCTGAAAAGATCGACTGTCTGGTGCTTAGGGAATGGGGGAATGGATCTGCATAGCAGCCCCAAGATAATCCCCAATAATAGTCTCCACAATCCATTCCCCCATTCTCTACTAAGAACCAGACGGTCAAGTGAGCCTTGTCGTAGTAGTACAGTAGTAGTACAGTAGTAGTACAGTAGTAGTACAGTAGTAGTACAGAAGTAGTGCAGTAGTAGTGCAGTAGTAGTGCAGCAGTAGTAGCACAGTACCACTAGACCCTTCTAATGGGGGGGGTGGGCATGGGGGTTTATTCAAGGTCAGGTTTTTCCGCGCGAGATCGGGTGAGCCTGTCTTATTGGGGGTGTGTAGCCAAACTCCGCGCTATTGGGGGGTTGAACGTTTAAAGCAATACAAGACCTTGTTTCGGGAATTGGGGGAAACCTGTTCGAGGGAAAGCTAATACATATTGATTTATTAAGTAGTATACTACTAGTTACTAGTACAGTAGTAGTACAGTATTAGTACAGTAGTACACCGAAGGCCACAGGGCGCCAAGGGTTTCGGATGTACCTATGGTCTCCATTGTAGTTCCTTTCGTTGGTTAACAATTTTATGGTTAGGTTCCTATGACATAGATTTTGGTTAGCCCAAAAAAGGAGCTACTATGGAGACAATAGGTAGGATTCTGGATTCTGGATTTAGGGTTTGCCGTAACCCTAAACCCTATAAACCCTACACCTTTAGCTCAAGCCCAAACTACGAACTATGCACAAGCTCAACACTCCATGGTTTCACCGCTGTAAGGGCTCCAATACTTGCCAATACTATTCTTGGTGTTCCTTTTTTCGAGAAAAGCATATCCTAAAACCCCTTCAAATTAGTAGGTCCTTGTATACCTCAGCTGTCGCAAGCAATGCTTTGACTACTCAGGACTTACCCCACGAAAACCCGGACTTTTGAAGCAAACGTAGTTTTGGGGTTGAGGGTTTAGGGTTTGGGGAGGCGGCACGTTCTATTCTTGCTTGTATTGTACAGAACCCTACACCCTAAGCCCTAAACCTTAAACACTAAACCGGGTCTCAAGGGAACTCCTCCATGATCTCAATGCAGTCCTCAGACCTCTCTTGAAGCTCGAAATTGAAACTACGGTTGATGATATAAACCCTGCATTACCCATACTAAGGAATATACCATAATTCCCGTAATTGAGGGTCCTTAAGGTAATGCAGGATTTTTATCATCAACAGTACGTACGCAAAGGTTAGCCTCCTAGACCACCTGTTGAACAGAGCGCAGAAGCCTCAACCTTAGACCCGTAACCCCCAAACCGTGCTTGAGAGATCAGACGGCTTTGCAAGTAGTTAACATGTAGACCTATCACACAAACACATTCACACACTTTATATACCTGCGTATAGACGCATGCATATAAAATGTGTATATAGATATATGTTTATTAGCTACAAACATACAAGAATGTGTATATATATATACACACACATGCACATGTATAAACAAATGAATGAATAAGTGTGTGTGTGTGTGTAGATATAAATGTAACTATGTATGTGTTTGCATGTGTAGATGTATGTGCTGCATGTGCATGTCTATGTGCATGTGTATGTGTGTGTGTGTACATCTGGTGCATGAAGTCATGATCACCGATTTGGGTTACCCTACTTCTAAGCTCAAACCTGTATCACACACTGCTTAGCTCGATGAGCTTCATCCAGTATGGTCATGTCTTTTCTCGGAGCCCTCGAACCTCCCGCTCTCAGCCTAAACCTACAAGCCCCAAACCATACGATCTTCCTGCAACTTTGATATGTTCAGCGCGCATACCTATATAGGATCGCTACGAGCGGCTTCAGTCTGAGTGGAGCAATCCGTACTTCACTTCGGCCAGCACTTGCTGGGTCAAAGCAGAGCCCGCGTGTGATCATGGAAAAGCCCAGACCTTCCAATATCCCTTAATTAAGGAATATACCTTAAATTCTAGTAGAATCCTTAATATAGGGTATATTCCTGAATTAAGGGATTTTGGAAGGTCTGGGAGCCTGCATCCTCACCTGCACTACACTCTGCTTCCGACGCCCAGACATCCTCAGACTTAGATTCAATCCCGAAAGTTGGAAAGTGCCAACACTGCCATGGAGTTGTCACTCCGCGCAGCGGGTTTTCCAGCTGGCCACGTTTATGGAGGCTGCGAAGTTTAGGGTTCAGAGGGGTTGGGTTTAGGGTTTAGGGTTTAGGGTTTAGGGTTTAGGGGTTGAGGGCTTCAGGGCTAGGGATGGGTGGTTTTCATCCATTCCGAGCACTGGAGGTTTTAGGGTTTGGGTGCAACAGCAGCCCCCAAAAATACATTGAAGAACAGGAGCCTGATATGTATAGATATATACATATGTTAATGAACCAAGCTGCTTTGAAACCCTATGCACGCATGCTTTCATGCAAAAATACCTTCCTACTGTTACTCTGGAGTTGGGGGGGGGTCTATCTTTGAAAGTGGGGATTGCGGGACAAGATTTGGCAGTGTAGGGCAAGGCAGACTGCCGATTGAAATGCCTCCTTTGCTTAGGTTCAAGACTTTACCACGCGTAGCCAAACAAGTCCTAAACTGTCTGGTTCCTTATGATACCCTATTCTAATCATTAAGGCCCCGGTAGTATATGCTTTTAGTTTGGTGCGTGTGGATTTACACTTTGGGCTCAGGAGGTTTGGAGTTTACGATGTCGGGCCGGCAGCATCCACCCTAACTCCTGCTCTCGAGAAGCCCCTTACTGTAAGGTACACACACACACACACCATTAATATCTCTATATGAATAAATACATATATGATATGTTAATGTACACTTACATTACGCGGTTTCTGTGATTTGATATCGAGAACTTTGTGTACATATTGTATAAAATGATAAATGGATACACAAACACACCAACAAACAAACACATACATATACATACACATCCACAAATTTCTTGCAACCCTGCCTAAAGGATCATGGGACTTAGTAAGTAGGTTATAATTGGGGTTATAAGTCCCCTAAGTGGGGTTATCCTAATTATAACCTCCTTACTTACTAAGTCCCATGAGCTTTTAAGTGGGTGATCAGAAGTTCGGGTTTCGGGATTCCGAACCCCGAAATTCCCCAATATCCCATTTTCTGAAACCCCCAACCGCTGAACACCAAACCTTAAACTCCTAAACCCCAAAACCCCAAAACCCATGAGGGCTTGTCCTAGCTAAGTGGGAGGCAAAATAGCCCAAAACCCTAAACCTCTAAAAACCCTATAGCTTAAACCCTGAAGCTCTAAGCCCTCACAGACCACGACTCTAACTCGAAAAGGCCCTTCGCGTTCGTACGGCGCCCCGGGCCGCCGCGGAGACGAGAGGTAAAGGGGCTTCATAAAGTTCTATAGAGCGGGTTAAGGGGTTCAGGGTTTGGGTTCAGGGTTCAGGGGTTCAGGGTTTAGTTTAGGGTTCAGGGATGTTCATGGTCTAGGGGTGTAGGGCTTCGGGCTGTAGGGAAGTACTCTATAACGAAAGGGTTCTCAAGGGGTTTCTGAATGAGGTTTTGGGATTCGGGGTTTGCGTTTATGAGCTTTAAACATTCCTTCAACCACAGCAGCAACGCCCGTATGTACAGACCAGGAATGCTAATCTAGGATCTAGACGCTTAGATAGTAGGACCCCGAACAGAAGAAACCCGCAATGAGGGACCGAGAGACTTCAGTGGCACTTACCCAAGAAAATTGCGATGCTGCGAAACCTTCAGATTTGCGTCATCGGCTGCTGTCACCGTGATTGCGGCCTTGCATGCGCATCGCTGCCATGCCAGGCACCGGGCTGAAAACGGTTGAAGACGGATTACCCTAAACCCTAAATGCCTTAAACCTTATACCCTAAACCCTAAACCCTGAACCCTAAACCAGCAAATGGGACTTTCAGGACTCCTCATGATAATTTCCTTCTACAGGTCGTTACAAAGGCAGGCTCTCTCGGGATAAGGTAAGCCTAGTAGTAGAGTAGGTAACCTTTAACTTTTTTGCGGTAGTACAGTCCCTACATAACCCTTATATAGCCAAAAAGGTTAACCTTTAGTTCCCCATGATACCCGACAAGTAGGTAAGGAACCTTGAATCCCTAACCCTAAACCCCAAAACCCTAAAGCCCTAAACTACCCAGGGATAAGGTAAGGAATAGGACCCCAAGCATATGGGGCTTCCGGGCTGCAGAGGTTCAGAGTCTCGGCACCGTCAGCCGAGATACACCGCGAAACGCGAAACCCCGAAAGCCATGAACAGCGGGTCTATAAAGGATCTATAGTAGGGTTCTATAATGTAGGAGGTTTATAATGGTTACATATACTATTTACCCTCGAACCCGGAAACCCTCCGTGTGTTACTTGCAGCTGTTGTCACCTTGTTCAAAACCCTAGCTGCCAGTACCAAGGATCCTTCAATGACACCCGAAACACGACCCAACCCCCTGAACACTCTAGAATCGCAAACTGAGCGTTTGTGCATTTTGGTTGGTACCAATCCTGTTCAAAGAAGGCATACATACAGTAGACTATTATACAGTCTAGGGGGTCCTGAATATGCTTCAAAGTATATTACGTTTGAGGGATTTGGGAGCCTTGAAGCGGGGTCGATTGCAGGCCTGGGGCTCTTTCGGTGAGGTGGAAATACACCCGGGAGGCTTGTGACACTTTTCGAGGTTTACTACCATAAGGGGCTTAAATAATTACGAATACTATTTCGGGGGTTCATTTCTATACTTGTAGTGTACTGCGCACCAAAACCCTATTCTAATTACTGAGGCCCCTACATTTAGTTTGTCGAGTCGGTGTCTGTCACCTATGCGTTCAGGGCTTCAGGCTTTGCAGTCTGCACTTTGGGCTTCTAAGCCCTAAACCTTAACTAACCCCTCAACCCTAACTAAACCCTAAACCCTAAACCCTAACTAAACCCTAAACACCCTAAACCCTAAGCCCTAAACCCTAACTAAACCCTCAACCCGAACTAAACCCTAAACACCCTAAACCCTAAGCCCTACACCTCTTCAGAGTCGAAACTCTTGTCTACGCAAATGAGGGAGTTCCTGAAAACTAGGAGTACATTGTTTATCCTTGTTTTGGGGTCCTCAGAATAAGGATCCTACTAGTTAGTGTGCTTTAATATGGTCCCCTATTTTCAGAAACTCCCAAATGAAGGTTTCACTGATGATGTCTCGCCTGGATTGTCCGAGTGCGAGCGCCGAAACCCTAAACCCTACAAACCCTAAACCCCCAAACCCTATAAACCCGATAAGCCCTAAACACCCTAAACCGCGTAAACCCTTTATACATCCCTTTAAAGGAACTCTTATGGAACCCCTCATAGATCCCGTTAAAGGGCCCTAAACCCGAAATCTGACACCGAAATGTCCCTAAACCCTAAACCCTATCGTCCCTAAACCCGAAACCCTATCGTCCAAACCCCTTATAGATCCCTTTAAAGGGCCCTAAACCCCGAAATCTGACGCCGAAATACGCCGGTGAAGGCGGCATCGACAGCTGCTCGCCGCGCGAAAGGCGCAGGACTTCGAGCGGGCTGCAGGCCGGGCTGTAGGGTTTCCTTACCCTAAGGGTCCATGTACCCAAATAGTATATACTTTGGCTTTAAAGTAGTCCCTAATTAAATACATTGAGGCCAAAGTATATACTATTTGGGTACATGGACCCTTAGGGTTAGGGTTACTTAGAAATTATTTTGTATTTTGGGGTATTATAATCCCTAAGAAACAGCTAAAAGTGTAATGTTTGCTAGGGTTCTATGTTCAGTATAGTTTCGTTCTGGAATTATAAGATTGTTTTAGGGTATAGGGTTTAGGGTTTAGTTCCGGTATCTTGAGAAGCTTTTTTCGATAAGGTTTAGTTGTGCGGCGTTTCGGGGTTTTGGAAAAGATGAGCGTTTAGTTTTGTGGGCTTTTTGCAAGGTTTTAATTTTTAGAAGGGTATTGTAAGGCTAGTAGGTGGTTCAATAGGGTCTTCGAGGGTTTCATAGAGTAATTTGTCAGTGATGCTATCCTTTTCTAGTGCCTCCAGCTTGATTAAGTAGTTTAGGGGTGTCAATTCAATGGGGTCGGTTTCTTTGGTTCGGCATTCTGCGCACAAACAAGTCCTAAAGCCCAAAACCCTAAAACCCTGAACCCCGAACCCGTACAGAACCCCTTCTGGATGCCTTAAGAGAAGCCTTAAAGAATCCTTTTAAAAAGAGCCCCAAACATCAGGTGCTGATGTGGGGAAGGCTGAAAGTTACAACTGCGGGGCTGCGAGCGTTGGCGGCTACGACCCAGATCGCCACAAGGTGAACCAGGCTGCGTGGGTTTAGAGTTTAGGGTTCCTGAAAGGAATTCTCGACGCATTCCCTCATTAACGTATGTACATCTGAAATCGCATGTGCATGCGTGTATGCCGCATGCCCCTCGCTGCTTGTTTTCTCATGTGTGTTTTGTTGTCTTACCAGGTCGAATTTGCCCTGACACCATCGAATCACAGCTAGCCATTGTGACGATAGGCACGATCAACAGCAAGGCTTCGAAGCAGCATCAACAACACCAACCTTATGTTACATTCAAGAAGCATATTCACTACAGTCTCTGCGCAGGCTCTCGAAAACAATGCCCGAAGTGTTGAACCCTAAACCCACAGCACTCCCTAAATCACTTGTTCAAGATTCGATTGTTACTGTTGCAATGCCCTTACAACCCTAAACGGCAGACCCCTCAAGAACCTACCCTTTTAAAGACATATATAAGGAAATCATAATAAGGAACCCTGAAAAGGTAGGTTCTTTAGGATCTGCACTCAGTGCAGGATGCCTGCTACGTCGAAGAGTTGCCAGATGGCCGGCTCCAGGCGTGGTCATACTTGGTGCGGCAGGGGACTTAGTAAGTAGGTTATAAGTAGAGTTATGAGTACCCTAAATGGAGTTACCCCAATTATAACCCTACTTGCAACCTACTTACAAAGTCCCCTGCCCCTCCAAGTAGGATTTCGGGTTTAGGACTCGTTTCTTCTGGATAGGCGACCCGGTCGCAGGGTCGGCTGATGTTTGCTCTGGAGTATCATCTTCGGTGCAACCGGGACACCAAAACCCTTAAGGGATCGGGTGTAGTGGTTCAGGGATTTCGGCGGGTTTCGAGCTAGTTAAATGGTTTGGGGTCTCGGGTTTGCTGTAGCTTTCGGGACCATTGGGGGTATACTCTACCAGAACTAGTAGACATAAGTATTAGACATAAGGGGATAGAATCCTACAGTTTTAAAGTAGTATAGCTCAAGGGGATAGAGCAGGTGTGTGGGGTATCTTATTGGATATTGCTTATTTCTCGCGCCAAGGCTGTTTAATATAGGGGCCCAAATAATTACCAATACTATTCTGGAGGTTCCTTATTATGACTACAGTATAATGGGCCCCAGAACCCTATTCTAATTATTAAGCCCCCTATATTATGGGCACTCAGGGGTCTGGGCACTCAGGGGTCCTTTAAAGGGCTCTATAGGGATTTAGGGTTTAGGGATTGGGGTTTAGGGTACTAATAAGTGGGGTCATAAGTCCCCGAATATGAGTGTCGTGTAATTATTGGGGGATGCTAGCAGCAGAAACTTTAAATCATGTAGAGCAGCTGAGGCATTCGAGTGAAACATAGTATAGGAGCCTAGATAGTTGCCAAGATCGTTCCGCAGGATTGCTTACCATAACTCCATTAGAATACTTGAGGGATCAGGGGACTTAGTAACTGGGGCTATAAATAGGGTAACTATACTTATAACCTTACAGTAGAAGCCAGAAAGTTGGAATATCATTATCGTAACCCCTTTAAGGTAAATTATAAGGGATCCTACCATTAATCCATATTCCAACTTTCTGGAGTTCCCTTTACTTACTAAGTCCCATGACCTCTCCTCGGCTTTCGGGCTTTAGGCTTGTCGAACTTGGCGGCTTAACGTAGAAGCCTTAAAACCTATACGACCGGGGGGGGTCCTTATTAGAATTATAGTATACCATACCCCAAAACCGCATTCTAATGATTAAGGCCCCTATATTGCCCGAAAGCGGCAACTGAAACCCAGCAACCGTCAAACCTGACAATACACTGCTTCTCGATGCTACCAAGAGTCGTTCGAGACTCCGACTGCGCACATGGACCGAATGCCGCTATAGAAGCTTATTGCGACTGCCATTCTTGTTGCTGCTCATGTGGTAATATATATATATATATATATATATGTATGTAATACTTGTTTATGTTTGTTCATATTTGCACCTGTATGCACACATAGAGCGAGAGAGCCACAGAGAGAGAGAGAGAGAGAGAGAGAGAGAGAGAGAGAGAGAGAGAGAGAGAGAGAGAGAGAGAGAGAGAGAGAGAGAGAGAGAGAGAGAGAGAGAGAGAGAGAGAGAGAGAGAGAGAGAGAGAGAGAGGAGAGAGAGAGAGAGAGAGAGAGAGAGGAGAGAGAGAGAGAGAGAGAGAGAGAGAGAGAGAGAGAGAGAGAGAGAGAGAGAGAGAGAGAGAGAGAGAGAGAGAGACGAGAGAGAGAGAGAGCGAGAGAGCGAGAGAGAGAGAGAGAGAGAGCGAGAGAGCGAGCGAGAGAGCGAGAGAGCGAGAGAGCGAGAGAGCGAGAGAGCGAGAGAGCGAGAGAGCGAGAGAGCGAGAGAGAGTCAGAAAGAGTGCCTAAGTCTGCTTGTTCTGGGCCATTGCCTGGCGCGTGAAGCCCCACATTGCGGCTTGGACCCTAAACCCTGAACCCTAAACCGTACTGGGTTTAGGGTTTAGGGAGTTCAGGGGTTTAGGGTTTAGGGTATTGTTTAAGCACCTACAACATGGCTCCTTGAAGCACCAGGCAGCCGTCATCGATGGCCACGGCAAGAAAGGCCACGTTGTCTCTGGTGCTTTGAAGGCAGGGTGCTTGAGTTTCTGGTGGTTCTTAGAACTTCGGGAGGATTTAGAAAGTAGATCCCCTAATTTGGGGCCCTATACTACTTGGGGTACTTTCTAGGAACCCCCATTAAGGGATCCTCCCGGGGGTCTGGGTTTGCATTTCCGAATGCCTGCAACCGCACAAACCTCAAGAACAACCCTGAATCGATGCAGCCCTAAGCCGTGAACCCTAAACCTTAAGCCCTAAACAATAACCCGTATCGCTTGAAACCACAACCCGAACCCTTAAACCTGAAATTCCAAGCCTTTTTACTTGCGTTTGTTGGCGTACGTTTCTGGTTCGAGGGCCTAGGACAGTGGCATTGATCCGTTTCCGTAGCTTCCCGGTGAGCTGTTATCACTCTTCTCCGAATTCTGGCCCCGGTTGGGAACCTCATGCCACCATTTTTATCACAAGAATGGCGTAACCACTCATTTCAAAAGCCCCAACGTCTCAAACCCTAGAGCCTAATCCATAATCCAGGGTCCGAGACAGGGCCCTAATCCATAGATCCAGTAGCACCGCCCCAGCCGAAGGGTTTAGCATTTAGGGTTTAGGGTTTTTGTCATCGTGATGGTGGTTTCCTATGGGTTTCCTAGAGGTTTCTGGCGGTTTTCACGGTTTTCCCATAGGTTTGCTGCAGGTTTCCTTGCGGTTTCCTGCGGTTTTCTATGGATTTCCTATGGGTTTCCGATGGTTTGACGGGTTTCTTCGTATGGGTTTCCCTACAGGTTTCCAGCGGTTTCCTATGGGATTCCCACAGGATTGTTGCGGGTTTCGATGGGTTTCTCATAGGTTTGCTACAGGTTTCCTTGCGGTTTCCTGCGGTTTCCTATAGGTTTCCTAGAGGTTTCCGGCAGTTTCCACGGTTTTCCCATAGGTTTGCTGCAGGTTTCCTTGCGGTCGCCGGTCATGATCTCATGCAGCATTGCCTGAAACACCCGCCATCATCATCATCATCATCATCGTCGTCATCGCTACAGTCACTGCTCTCATCAATGTCATCACATCATGATGGCCATCAACATTTGCTTCCAGACGAATCAATGCTATTTTCTTCACCATAAACATCAAAATGATCCGATCCTCCCGATCCTCGTCACCCACATTGTCGGATTCTCCCCCCTTCGCTACAGTTGGTTCCATCACAGTCGCCATCGCTAATAGCTCTCTCTCTCGCCGACTACTAGACCACCTCGACTGTACATGCTCCTATTGGCACTTCTCCATGGAAGCATTAGCTGTTCTCACCACCCCCCTCTACCAGCTTCATCGTCATGTCATCAGTCTCGACAGTGCATGTTGCTTCCTTTGCCGTCATCAGTCTCAACACTGCATGTTGCTATTCTTTGTGGCGATGGCCGCTTTTCACTCAGGGTGCGGTTTTTTGTTCGCCTGACAGGAGCTTCTCCCGCCCTTGGTGGTGGAGCAGCTAGCAACCGAGGATCGCAGCAGTTCCGGATACACGGTTTGAGGTAGTCTGGGCATTGCGATTGCAGGTTTCATCATGCAAGGCCGGCTGGGGTTCCAGGTTTCGAGGCCTCCGTAACCCCTAAACCCCTAAACCCTCAATCATTAAACCCGAAGACATTAAACCCTAAAACCTAAACCCCTAAACTCCAAACCCCCAAACCCCCAAACGCTAAACCCTCAACCCTAAACGGTTTTACATTTTAAATTTTAAAGCATCCAGACAGCTCTGTTGATGCCGTCACTTGAAGTGCCCTTCCGGGCAGCTGAGTTGGGTTAAGGTCTACGGTCGCAGGAACCCTGCCAGCAGGGTTAACAGATAAGACCAAGGCATTTCAAGACCCTAATTAAACCTTGAAACCAGTGCCGACGAACTGTCAGTTTTTGATCTCGCAGTTGGAGTCATAGCTATCCTAGGGGTAAGGGCTTTAAGGGGGTTATAGGGTTAGGGAGTTTAGGGTTTATAGGAAACTCCAGAAAGTTGGAATATGGATTAATGGTAGGATCCCCTGTAATTTATCTTAAAGGGGTTACGATAATGATATTCCAACTTTCTGGCTTCTACTGTAAGGGGTTTAAGGCTTGTAGGGTTTCCGTGCTGGCAGTGTGGTGACAATCCGCGTCAGTTCCTCGAGCTGCCCTAAGCCCTAGCCCTTAAAGGGTTCCTCATGTTCCTTCAAAGGGATCTATCAGTGTCCCTTTAAGGGGCTCCTTAAGGGATCTATAGGGTTTAGGGTTTGGGGTTGATGATATAAGGAGGTTCTTATAAAGGGATCCATAGGGGTACCTTTAAGGGGTTCCTTAAGGGATCTATAGGGTTTAGGGTTTAGGGTTCATGATATAAATCTTGCATTACCTTAAAGGCCTTAAACTATGGGAATTATGGTATATTCCTTATTATGCGTAATGCAGGATTTAGATCATCAACCGTAGCCCTACGAACCATCAGCCTGAAGCTAAAATTAATTCCGATAAAAGCCTGTTCAAGAAACTACGGTTTAGGGTGGACGGGTTGAGGTGGCTCCCGTCTCGCCGGAAAGCAGGCTCTAAGACCTAGAACCCTTAAAGCTTGAACCGCTAAACCCCTAAACCCCTACGCCTTGGTCCGTTTACCCAGAGGCTCCATAGTAGTTCCTTTTTGTGGTTCATATATAGAATCCTATAAAGTAATCCCAGAAAGGAACTACGATGGAGCCTATGGGTAAACCGCCAAACCCCAACTCTAAACCCTAAACCCCTGAACCCCTACGCCTTGAACCGTTTAGCCCATGCTTCGAAGGATGCAGCGACCAGCCTGGTTCGAGCCTTCGAAGCAAGCGACGCTGCGCTTCGTACCGCTGGTAACGTGCCTGACCCGTTTCGGGCTGGAAGTTTCCGCCTAGGAGGGTTCCTTTAAAGGGATCTACAGGGGCTCCTCACAAAGATCTATCAGGGTTCCTTCAAAGGGATCTATAGGGGTTCGTTCAAAGCGATCTATAAGGCTTGCTTGAAAGGGATCTATAATAGGGTTTAGAGTTTAAGGCTTAGTGCTATAGGCTTTAGGGTTTTAAGGCTGTTGAGGTTAGTGTCTAAGGCTTGTGAGGTTAGAGATTCCGGGGTCTGGTTTAGGCTAAGGGGTCAAAGTTGAGGGTTTCGGGGTTAAGGGTTGAGGGTTTAAGGTTCGGGGTTCAGGGTTTAAGGGTTTAGGGTTCAAGCTGCAGAGATTTATGGTTTACTGTTTTAGAGTTTTAGGGTTTACATGGTTTAGTGCTTCAGGCTTTACACAGGGGTTGAGGGCTTTCAGGGCTTAGGGTTTACGTTACGGGGGCTCTGTGGTTTGAGGCCAGGGCCATGTTTGCTGGTTCTTGGAGGGGCAGGGGACTTAGTAACGGTTCTTAAAGGGTTCCTTAAAGGGATCTATAGGGTTTATGGGGTTTAGGGTTTAGGGTCTACTTGGAGGGGCAGGGGACTTAGTAAGTAGGTTATAAGCAGAGTTATAAGTACATAAAAAATGGAGTTGCCCCTGTAATCCTGCTTATAAACGACTTACTAAGTCCCCTGCCCCTCCAATTAGATCGTGATATCTCCAATTTCGGCCTGTTCCATGGTTGCAGAGCCGCAAACCCAGACCACGGTAGCTTGAAGCCCTAACCTTACACCCTAAACTGCGGCCCTAAACCCGACAAACCCATGCAGCCCGAAACTATCACCATCCAGCGCCTGTGCAAGGGCGTCCACATCAACAGCGACTCCCTACGGCTGATGGTATAAATCCTGCAGTACCCATAATAAGGAATATATACCACAATTCCCATAGCTTAGGGTCCTTAAGGTAGTGCAGGGTTTATATCCTCAACCGTACCAGCATCTTTGAAGTGAAATGAAGTGAACACATCGTGTTGGAAGCCCACAGTCAAGACAGGCGCAGCCCCGAGACGCTGTGTCCTAAAGAGCCCTGTGCTCGAAAGGCTGAGCCCCAACCCCGACAACTACTGTTGATGATCTAAATCCTGCATTACCTTAGGGACCCTAAACTATGGGAATTATGGTATACCCCTTATTATGGCTCATGCAGGATTTATATCAACCACCGTATCACTAAACCCTACCTAAGCCTTAACCTGAAGCCCTGAACCCTGTAAAAACCTCAAACCCATGCTGTATACCCCTATACCCTAAGTTAATCCTAAACCCTAAAGCCTGAACACAGTAAGTCCTGCAGCCTAAACCCGAAAAGCCTATAAAGCAACAAGCCCTAATAAATTAAGCTCTACACCCAATATACCAACAAAAGCCATATATATATATATATATATATATACATATATACGCGAAAATCCTACACTACACCCGAAACCTTAGAAACCCAATAAGCCCTGATCCCTAAATCTAAACCCAATGTACCCTATACCCTAGGCCTGAAGACCCTAAACCCTAAACCTGAAGACCCTAAACCCTAAACCTGAAGACCCTAAACACCTAAACACCTAGACCCTAAACCCCTAAACACCTACAAAACCTTAAACCCCAAACCTGAAGACCCTAAACCACAGCACCCCAACCCCCAACTCGAGGTGTGGGAACCCAAGCGCGCACTTCAGGCCCAGCCCGCGGTTTCAGCTGTTTAGGGTTTAGGGTTGAGGGGTTTAGGGTGTAGCGTGTTTCAGGATTTTCGGGTGTTGGGTCCGATTGCGGTTTAGAGGGCTTGGGGATTTTGGGGTTTGGGTTTGTCATTGCTTTACCCAGAGGCCCCATAGTAGTTCCTTTTTGGGATTACCCTATAGGATTCCATATATGAACCCCAAAAAGGAACTAGTTTGGGGCCTATGCATAGAGCTATTTTGGTGCTTTGGGGTTTGAGAGCTTCAGGGTTATAGGCTTCCGCGGGTAAGCTTCCAGGACTTCGGGTTTGGGGTATCTGATCTCCTGGGCTTTTTAAGTGAGGGCCTTAAACCCTAAGCATTCAGGAATCCAGGGACATTCTACTATTCCGGCCGCTTGCTGTTCTTGGCTCTGTGGGTTTGAGCTTTCAGTTTTGAGTTAAGTGTTTAAGTGTCTGAGTTTGAGATGGCAAGGCACCGCGTTACACCCTGCTTCTTCCCTGAAGTTGACAGGATTTGGGGTTTCTCAGGGTTACGTTGCAGCTGATGGCAGAAGCCTTCGGTAATTGCAAATTGAGCACCAGTGGCATGAGGACCGAAAGGACGGGCCATAGCACCGAAGTCCTAAATCCAGCAGGAGATAAAGCCCAACCCTTCACAGCCTTACTTCAATCACTCATGGAGCACTTGATGCTAATTCGTGTCGCAGCACGTCTACGTCCTGAACGGCGGAACCAAAGAGTCTTAACCTTGACGTCTTCAGGCACTGTTTATGCAGCAAGCTCGAAGAGCCCAAGCCCCTGTGGACGACCCAACCCGCTCGAGCAGTTAAACATCCTGAAGATAAAGTCCGAGCTGTGAATCCTAAAGCCCTGATTAGTAAGGGTTCTTAAAGGGCTCCTTCAAGGGATCTATAGGGTTCCTTAAAGGGATCTATGAGGTTTAGGGTTTAGGATCTATAGCCCCTGATTGAACCTTAAACCTCAGTCCCCGAACCCGCTGCATCCCCCAACTCGTACTTCCACAGCGCACTTGGTTTGCCCCAGCAGGTGCTGCTGCTGTTGCGGCGATAGTCGAGCAGGGCATCTTGCCACAAATTGCCTTTTTGTTTGCAGGCTTCGGTCGGGCTTCGAGAGATTATAGTGAATCAGGGACTCTACACCCCCGAAACAAGTCAATGCACGTTTTCAGGTTCAGCGATCAACAATTGTTTGCACGGGCCTGGACCTGAGACGTTGTTATGCAACACGGAAAGCCAAGTCGGCGATGATGGTGATGATAGTAGTGACTAGTGACGACTGAGATGACCGTCGTGGTCATATTGCTGGGATCCAGGATGCTGATGGTTGGGGATGGTGGCGGTGATGTTGTGGTCATGGTTCGTTGGCGGTGGTTCTGGTGACGCGCTTTACACTTGCATGATCCGGAGGCTCGACTTTGAAAAGCTCAACTCAAGGATTGAGGGGCAGGGGCGGGCACGTCCACATAACAATGCTAATCTTGGTAATGTGGATAAGCCCTGGTAATATGGGTAAGCCCTGGGTCAAGAGTTGAATTTGATTCTGCAGACTTCCCGGCGCAGACATGGAGCCTTGTTTTCAGTTTTTGAGATCGGGGCCTCTGTTGCAATCGAAATCAGAACCCCTGGCCCATATCCCTCTAGCTACCCCATTCCCGCGCTTTATTTGGTGAAATGCCCCCTTTCCCGACGGGAAACCATTGGAACCCTAGTTGACCGTCTGCTCGGTACCTGATATAAGTCGGTTTTTTTCGTTGAGCTCCTCCAGGTGATGACTTCGTGCAGTTATGTGCAGCTGACTTGTAGCCATCTGGGTAGTTATCAAAATCAGGTTCCCTTTTTGGGTCCTTCATATAACACTATTAGGGTACCCCAAAAGGGGCAATTTATCAAAATTAGGATCCCTTTTTGGTTCCTTATTAATATAACACTATCAGGGTACCCCAAAAAGGGGCAATAATTTTGACAACCACCCATCTAGAGCCCGGGCCTCGGTTTCTAGTTCGAAGTTCAGGAGCTGGTAACTTGCCCGCGTGGGGATTGCGGGGGCTACACTTAGGGATCTATAGGGTTCCTTTAAAGGGATCTATAGGGTTCCTTTAAAGGGATGTATAGGGGTTTAGGGTTCCTGTAAAGGGATCTTTACCTTTGGTTAGAAGGGAATGGAGGAATGGGGTATAATTATAACTACTATTACTACCATTCTTCCACTCCCTACTAACAAACGGTAAGTACAATGTCGGGGCGTGAACGTTGCCGTGGCAAGATTCGCTGCAATGCGACTCCTGCAATGCTGGCCTTGACGTTGTGCAGCCTGCTTCTGCTTCATTTCTGGAGCAGCGCCCTGCCGATGCCGAATGTGGCGTTAAGGGCTGATGGTGGAGGCAAGTCAGTGACGTGCGAGATGGTGAAGAAAGCTGTCCAGGCAAGGCGAAGAAGCTTGGAGAAGGACTTGCAGAATCTCAGGAAGTACGATAAAGTGGACAAGGGTCATGCGAAGGAGCTGGACCAAAAGATTGCGGTGTTGCAAAAGGAGCTCGCTCGGTGGGATAGCAGAGACTGTGGTCCCGATCCTGAGGTGGACCACATTCGGGAAGAGATCCAGGGAGCCCGAGAAATGTTGGACCAGAAGAAGACCATGAAGATGGCGAAAAACAGCACCGGAGAGGAAGTTCACATGACCATCTTTGAAGTGGCAGACCTGATCGGCGTGAGTGCTCCTGTTGTTGGATGGCTCGTGTTGCTGTTTGGTGCCATACTGCGGCATTTGGTCATGGTCGTTGGCTACACGCTGGCTTTGTAACAAGTGACACAACTTGAGTTTCTGGTGGCCGTTAGCCATACAGGAGAATACCATTGAATCCAGACGGCAGAAGAGCGCCAGATGAAGAAAAAGTGCTGCGCAGTTGCAATCAGGCACTGTGGAAATGCTGTCTCGGTCGCAGTCCCGAAACCCTTCATTGTTTGCGCAATGCGACTTTCTCCCGTGGCATGTCCTTGCCTGTTTCCACAGGTCCACAAACATTTTGAGTGGAGGGCTAACGGTGAACTAAGGTTCGGGTTAGCGGAATCTTAATGAGAAGTTAATCTGGAGACCTTGATCGCGAAACGCCTTATGTTTTGGGGTTTGTGTTGTCGCCGTGGGCCGTTCTAGGCTTCGTAAGATCGCTGAGGAAGCGATGACAAAGCGTGGGAAGCGAGCGTGGCCTGTGCTGGGGAGCCTTGGTAGCTTCTAAACCAGTTGCGCCGCGAACCCGGCTTGGGTCGGAGGTTCAGGGTGTAGCACGAAGTTGTGTTTAGCACCATCGGAGTCCCTGACCACGATCCTGTTTGAAGAGGAATCTCGCCGAATCTCAAAGTCATGAAACCACGGCTAGGGTTCAGGATAGGATATTCTTTGCAACCCAAGTCAATGGGGGTTATATTATATTATTATATTAGTTATACTATATTATTCTTATATCATATTTTCATTATATTAGTATATTATATCATTAGATTATTATATTCGGGCCCAACTTGCTCAACTTGGGTGCCGCGCCTTGGTTGCGTGATCTTTCAGTCATGGAAGCTTCAATGGGAAATATCGTATTATATTCCCGACTATGGATAATGCAGGATTGTGTCCACCCTCAGTATCATGCCATGCCTGTAAAGGATCTACATCACAGGTCTTGACAGGCTTACATGGAGTTACTGGTTGCTTGCTGCGTCTACGAGCTCAGATTACCAGTGGTTTGCCAGGCTTTAGGGTAGAAAGACCCTAGGGTCCAGCCTGCAGAGATATGGAGGTCTCAGGGTGCATGAATTTTGGCAGGGTGTTTAGTTTGCTGTGCAGGAGTTTTACGTGCTTTCATTTCAGTTCATGAGGACGGCTTGGTGATCACCCGTCATCACGAGTTCTGCCCTGTGTTACTGTGTTCTATGAGAAGCAAGCCGGTGCGATTTGAGATCGAGTCGGCCAGGGCACGCGATGAATCAGGCCAACTAAGACCTCCACACCCTCCTAAGCCCTAACTCATCCTATCCCTAAGCCTACCAGGGTTAGGGTTCATCCATCGGGTAGAGGGTGCACAGATCTTGGCGTTCTTCTGGTTGGCTCTTAGGACTTTAACTTTTTGGGTTCTATAGGAACCATAATAAGGAGGCTAAAAGTTTAACTTTTTGGAGGGGTTCAGAAGTCAGCTAAGAAATATTGGCGAAACTTCTACCTCACACCCCAAAATGGACAAAGCTCTGCACAAAGTTTCACCAATATTCTGTGTACCCTCTATACCCTATTACAAACCCTAACCCTAGGATTCCGAAGCTCTAAACCCCGCATAGCCGTCCAAATTCTAAAGCCCTAAACCCTAAAACCCTAAACCTCGAAACCCTAAAATATCCCAAAACACAAAGAGCCAGAAAGGACTCACGCGCCATCTTGGTGGAGCTGGACGGCGAGCAGTCCGATGCCCAGATTGGGATTTTGCCAGAAATCTGTTTTGCAGAGTTCGCGGAGAATCGACGACTTTCCCTAGTGACGGGATGTAACCCTGAACCCTAAAAAGCTCCAGGAAGAAAAAGGTTGACAGATGCATAATAGACTGCTCGACATCTAGATAGACAGACAGATAGATAGGTAGATAGATTGATAGCTCGGCTACACTGATAGGTAGGTCGTAAGCAGGTTGGTGGGCAGGTAGCATACCTGCCGACCACGTATGCACATCAGGGTCTCATAAGGCCCGTATAATTATGAGGATACTACACCCTAAACCCTAAACCTAAGACCCTAAACCCCAAACCTACCCTTGGACGCAAGGAAAAGGGCATTGCATTTAAAACACACCTTAAACCTAAGACCCCAAACCTTAAACCTAAGGGTGGGCTGGATGCCGCTTGCTGGAGAAAGTCCGACACACTAAAACAACCTAAGACCCTAAACCCCAAACCTTTATGAGGATACTATTCCTAAAGCCCTAAACCTAAGACTCTAAACCCCAAACCTTTATGAGGATACTATACCCTAAACCCTAAACCCAAGACCTAAAAAAAAAAACCTTAAAAGTAAGGGTTCTACCAGTCGCAGGTGCATTGCCCGGCAGCTCTCGGAGACTAGCAGCTGCGAGCGCGCAGGGGAGCGCGAACGCATTGAGGCCAGGCCTCTTCGGTTCGACAAAACCCCAGGGTTCCTGGCTTTAGGGTTTATAGGGCTTCAGGATTCAGTTTAGGGCTTCATAAGCCCAAATAACCTACCTTTTTCGGGTGCCTTATTGTGACTTGCCTATGTATTTCCTTACAAAAGTAGGTTCAGTTCACGGTTTCAGGTCGTGTCCTAAACCCTAAACCGTTTCATTCAGGTTGTGTATTTAGTCAGACATTTTGAGATTTCTGGGGCTTAGAAGCCAGAGGCTCAGTGGCAACGCGGTCCGAAACCCTGAATCCTAGAGTCAACCAGGACAAAGACCTGGCAGCATCCATCAAGCGTTGGGCGATTTCGTTTGAAGTCAGAATAATAGACCTGTTTGGGTTGGCTGTCTACAAAGTCGAGATATTAGGGTGCGGAATCGCGCCCTACTAACAATCGGTAGATTAAAGTAGGTACTGGTATGGTGCAGAATGTACGGCTTTCGGTGTGGAACGAGACCGGCACTCAGAGCTATTCAACTAATCATCCGAATGAAGCAGGCGACTCCTGTAAGATACTGGCTCGTACCACGAGGCTTACCCTAGACACCAGCGTACCTTGAGGGGTGTTCTTCCCGTAGGCCCCCAACCCCAAATCCTGACCCCAAATTCCCGACATGCTAAACCTGAATGCTGAAAGCAATCCTGACACCCTGGAACCCACCCGAAGCCCGATATAAATGGGCTCGACTAATTTGAATGCATCCCCTACCCCAAACCCCATTCAAAGACCCCTAAGCTGCTAAACCCTAGACTAGGCCCTAACCCTAAACCCTATACACCCTATTCAAAGATCCCCAAACTCCTAAACCCTAAACATGAGCCTCTATAGGCTATAGGTCTTCGGAGTTGCATGGTTTGCCTAAGAGTTTAGAACAGGGAATG